TCTTCAAGAAAATTGGAGATTTGAAGGGAACATTTCATGCAAAGATGGGCATGATAAAGGACCAAAATGGCAGGGACCTAACAGAGGCAGAAGAGATTAAGAAGAGGTGGCAAGATTACACAGAAGAACTATACAAGAAAGAGCCTAACATCCCTGATAACCACAATGGGGTGGTCACTGACCTCAAACCAGACATCCTGGAATGTGAAGTCAAATGGGCCTTAGGAAGTCTGAGCAACAACAAAGCTAGTGGAGGCGACAGTATTCCAGCTGAGCTATTCAAAATCCTAAAAGACGATGCAATAAAAGTGCTACACTCAATATGCCAGCAAATTTGGAAAATACAACAGTGGCCACAGGATAGGAAAAGGTCAGTTTACATTCCAATCCCAAAGAAGGGCAATGCCAAAGAATGTTCAAACTACCGCACCATTGCACTCATTTCACATGCTAGCAAAGTTATGCTCAAGATCCTACAAGATAGGCTCCAGGAGCATGTGGACTGAGAACTACCAGAAGTACAGGTCTACCAGAAGTAGACCAAAAGTATAGTCTACTTCTGCTTCATTGACTAAGCTAAAGCCTTTGATTGTGTGGATCACAACAAATTGTGGCAGATTCTTAAAGAAATGGACGTACCAGATCATCTTATTTGTCTCTTAAGAAACCTATATGCGGGTCAAGAAGCAACAGTGAGAACTGGACAGGGAACCACTGATTGGTTCAAACTTAAGAAAGGAGTTAGGCAAGGCTGTATACTGTTGCCCTGCCTATTTAACTTATATGCAGAGCACATCATGAGAAAGGCAGGGCTAGATGAATCACAAGTTGGAATTAAGATTGCTGGGAGAAATATCAACAACCTCCGATATGCAGATGACACCACTCTAATGGCAGAAAGTGAACTAAAGAGCCTCTTGATGTGGGTGAAGGCGGAGAGCGCAAAAGTTGGTTTGAAACTTTAAGAAAACTAAGGTCATGGCATCTGGTCCTATCACTTCCTGGCAAATAGATGGGGAAGAAATGGAGGTAGTGACACATTTTATTTTACTGGGCTCCAAGATCACCGCAGATGGGGACTGCAGCCAAGAAATTAGAAGACGCTTGCTCATGAGGAGGAAAGCTATGCCAAGTCTAGACAGCATACTAAAAAGCAGAGACATCACCCTGCCAACAAAAGTGCATATAGTCAAGGCTATGGTTTTCCCAGATGCAATGTATGGCTGTGAAATTTGGGCCATAAGGAAGGCTGAGCGCAGAAGAATTGAGGCCTTTGAATTGTGGTGTTGGAGAAGACTCCTGCGAGTCCCTTGGACTGCAGGGCGATCAAGCCAGTCAGTTTTAGAGGAGATCAACCCTGACTGCTCTTTAGAAGGCCAGATACTGAAGATGAAACTCAAATAGTTTGGCCACCTAATGAGAAGGAAGGACTCCCTGGAGAAGAGCCTAATGCAGGGAACAATAGATGGCAAAAGAAGAAGGGGGCGAAAGAGAATGAGGTGGCTAGATGGAGTCACTGAAGCAGTCAGTGTGAACTTAAGTGGACTCTGGGAGATGGTGGAGGAATGTTTTCCATGAGGTCACAATGCATCAGACATGACTTCGCGACTAACAACATTTCATTTTTGAAAAAGGCTTGCTTTGACACTTCACAAATTTGTATTCAACCTTGACTCCCTTCCTGTTCAGCACCACTTTCATTGTTGGCCAATTTAAAGACTGTGATTTTTTCCAAGAAATACTGTGGGATGGGGAGCTGGATTTAAGAATCCTTGCTCTAGAACATGGGTCTTCAAACTATGGCCCGCAGGCTAGATCCAGCCCGCCATGCCTATTTATCCAGCCCGCTGCTTGGTGAGGTGCCAGGTTGCTTGCAAGTCAGCGCCTTGCCAGGAGATCCTTTTCTCCAAGCGAGGGGAAGATAGTTTTGGACTCGTTTGGAGAAAAGGATCTCCTTGCTAGCAAGTCGTCGCCTTGCCGGGAGATCTTTTTCTCTGAGTGAGTCCAAAATTATCTCCTTGTGAGCAAGTCGGACCCGAGGTGCCGGCTTGCTCGCAAGGAGATCGTTTTGGACTCGTTAAGCTTAAAAAAGCTTAAAAACAGCCACAGAGGTTGCATGCCACGTGAGTGCTCAGTTACAGGAAGTTACTTCTATGGAAATATATAAATATATTATACTTGGCTGACTAGCACTATTAATTGAAACTGCCAAATATTATACAGTTCTAGTCCTTAGGAAAGCTTTCATGACAAGTGATCACAAGCTGCTTGTGTGTTTTTACTTACCAGTTTTTAAAGGATTAAGGTTAGAGCATGTTGGTATTAAGTATTATTTTTATACTACCTCTTGTATGCCATGTGATTTCAGTGGCTTTAATTTTCCTGTAATTTTAACTTTAAGGTACTATAAAAGTTTATTTAAAAGTAGGGTGAATAAATCCTTAAAGTAAATAAGAAAAAAATCAGTATGGTTTCACATGATTGAAACAGCTGTGACTTATCATCAGTTAATTATTTAATTAAATCAATATAGATCAATCAATATATTAATACACTGATAATTTTGAAGAAAAACATATTCTTGTTTTTGTTTAAAATGCATGCCAGAATGAAAAAAGGCATTTGCTCCTGAACAAGAAAGAAGAGAAATATTTATATGGTAGCTTTTGTGAGTGAGCTTTCACTTCTTCTTTTATAAATATATCATCCACTCAGTTTGCATTTAAAAAATTCAATTATAGCAAATACTTACTGGATTGTTACTGGTTTTCCCCGCAAGTATGAGTCTGGCCTTGACTTTGTTCATATTAAAGTTTTTCAAATATGCTTCGTAAATTTTCTTGGCAAGTGATTTAAGATCTGCGATTTCAGAATTTTCAACACAATGTTCACCTGTTAGAATTTCAGCCTTCAACTTTGCCTTCTCTGATCTTGGCATCCGTCCAAATCGAATTGCTATGGGGAAAACATGAATTTAAAGTGGGACAACATATAAACATATATTTATATATTTGTTCTCCAATTGTGGTCCTGATTTTAAGGGCCACTGTGGAAGGACATAAGAATCCTGATGCCAACAGCATTAGCACTGGAACAGGCACATCACTACAATAAAACCTACAAGCTGATTTCCACCTATTTGTAAACCACTGGGAAATTCAGATTCCCAATTTGTGTTTTTTCCCCACATCCTTGTGGGAATATCTACTCAAGTCTGTCAGAATGCCTGTATCAATTCATTATAAACTAGTTACCCTCTCCTTTGGGTTAGAGGTACCTTACAGAAGTGGTACAATTTTCTAATCTTTTGCATACTGCTTAATGATTCCTTAACTGATATGAAATGCTGAGAAAGTTGTAATCAAACTTGACAGGGAGAAAGAGAGAAGGTAAGCATGGAAGAAAAAAAACAACACAAAAAAGAGATAGAGAGGGAAGAAAGCTAGGAACATAGAAAGAACCTCTAGGAAAGAAAAGGGGAGAGCTAACATTTGGGACCAGAGTAATGAGAAGGGCAAGAAGGGAAAGGATAGTTGAGCAAAGAAGGAGAATCAGGGCAAGGAATTGCGTAAAAACCATTTCAAAGACCAATGAACAGGGCAAAAGGACAGAATTTTAATTGTAGTGTTCAGTATATGAATAGTTTATGGCTTACTAGAAAATCCTTTCACTTCTTAAAGTCAGAGCAAGAGGTGCTGCTCAACAAGGTCCACAATTGCTCAATCAACAAAAGCTGGGTTTGGTTTGTTTGTTTTGCCTTTTGCCATTCAAATATCCTAACAGTGGGTTACACCAAAAGAAAAGTGAATGAAAGGAAATCAGCATTACCCCAACTTGCACAAGAGTTCATGCAGTGTTCTCATTATCCCAGTTGTACAGTGCATAGCTAGGGCAGGGCCACAGGGCACAGTACAGGGCCTTGCACTTGCATGAGTTCCCAAATGTCCCTCTGATACACGATGCAGCAGCATGCTGCAGCTCCTCCCTTCTTCCAACCTACTGCCAAAGGAAAACGCAACAGCCAGCTGATTGAGGCTACAGGCATGTGTTACAACTTTTAGAATATTTTCCCCCTTTGGCAACATTTGAGCAGCAATGAATGCAACTGATCAGAGACTACCTTTGGGGGAACATGGCCAAGGAAAGCACTAGTGCAGTAAAACCTCCACCAATATGCCACCCTACCTTCCTCATCATTTTTGCAACAACAAAGGTGGCATCTTATCAGTTGAGCTTGTTGCTATTCAAAGTTATCTTAGTTGCAAAGTCACATTGGACCCATTGGGACCCCATGAACAACATTCCTCCAAGACTTCCTGTCCTCCACCATCCCCTGGAGTCCACTTAAGCTCACACTGACTGCTGAATCCATCTAGCCACCTCATTCTCTGCCATTCCCTTCTTTTGCTTTCAATTGTTCCCAGCATCAGACTCTTCTCCAGGGAGTCCTTCCTTCTCATTAGGTGGCCAAAGTATTTGAGTTTCATCTTCACTAACTGGCCTTCTAAAGAGCAGTCAGGGATGATCTCCTCTAGGACCGACCGGTTTGATCGCCTTGCAGTCCAAGGGATTCTCAGGAGTCTTACCTAGCACTGCAATTCAAAGGCCACAATTCTTCAGTGCTCAGCCTTCCTTATGGTCCAAATTTCACAGCCATACATTGCAACTGGGAAAACCACAGCCTTGACTATAGGCAATTTTGTCAGCAAAAGTGATGTCTCTGCTTTTTAGTATGCTGGCAAGATTTGCCATAGTTTTCCTCCCAAGGAGCAAGCGTCTTTTAATTTCTTGGCTGCAGTCCCCGTCTGTGGTGATCTTGGAGCCCAGGAAAATAAAATCTGTCACTATCTCCATTTCTTCCTCATCTATTTGCCAGGAAGTTTCCTCATCTATTTGCCTCGGGCCCCGAGGGTGTGGAATGGGCTTCCACGAGAGGTCGTTGAGGCCCCATCGGTGCGGGTGTTCAAGGATAGGCTGGACGTCCACATGGTGGGCATGTCATGAGCGGAGCTGGCTGGTGCCGGAGGTCAGACTAGATGGCCCAGGAGGCCCCTTCTGACTCAATCTGTTTCTATGTTTTTAAGTGATAGGACCGGATGCCATGATCTTAGTTTTCTTAATGACTTTCAAAACAATTTTTGCACTCTCTTCCTTCACCCGCATCAAGAGGTTCTTCAGTTCCTCTTCACTTTCTGCCATTGGAGTGGTATCATCTGCATATCTGAGGTTGTTGATATTTCTCTGGCAATCTTAATTCCAATGTGTGATTCATCTCCCCTGGCCTTTCTCATGATGTGCTCTGCATATAAATTAAATAGGCAGGGCAACAGTATACAGCCTTGCCAAACTCCTTTCTCAATTTTGAACCAATCAGTGGTTCTGTGTCCATTTCTCACTGTTGCTTCTTGACCCGCATATAGTTTCTCAAGAGTCAAATAAGATGGTCAGGTTCTCCCATCTCTTTAAGAACTTGCCACAATTTGTTGTGATCCACACAATCAAAGGCTTTAGCATAGTCAATGAAGCAGAAGTAGATCTTTTTCTGGAACTCCCTAGCTTTCTCCATGATCCAGCGTATTTTGGCTATTTAGTCTCTAGTTCCTCTGCCTCTTCGAAATCCTGCCTGTACTTCTGGTAGTTCTTGGATGAAAGAAGTTGAATGGTTTGAATGTGATGTTGAATGGTTTTCCTTGGATTCGAACTGAGATCATTCCGTCATTCTGGAGATTGTATCCCAGTGCTACTTTTCCTACTCTTTTATTGACTATGAAGACTACTCCATTTCGTCTGAGGGATTCTTGCCTGCAGTAGTATACTTGATGGTCATCTGAATTAAATTCATCCATTCCTGTCCATTTTAGTTCGCTGATTCCCAAGATGTTGATGTTCAGTCTTGTCATCTCTTGTTTGACCACGTTCAGCTGACCTTCATTCATAGATCTTACATTCCATGTTCCTAAGGAGTATAGATCTTTACAGCATCGGACTTTCCTTTCACCACCAGATACATCCACAATTGAGTGTCCTTTTTGGCTTTGACCAAGTCGCTTTATTCTTTCTGGTGCTACAAGTACTACCCCTCTGCTCTTCCCCAGTAGCACACTGGACACCTTCCAACCTGAGGGGCTCATCTCCCGGAGTCATATCTTTTTGCCTTTTGGTACTTTCCATGGGGTTTCCATGGCAAGTGGGTTGCCATTTCCTTCTCCAGTGGATCACCTTTTGTCAGAGCTCTCTGCTATGACCTGTCCTTCTTGGGTACCCCTGCACGGCATACCTCATACTGTAGCTTCATTGAGCTGCACAAGCCCCTTCGCCACGACAAGGCAGTGATTCATGAGAGGGTATTCAAAGTTACCAAATTAAAAATGTTTACTAAGGTGTACTATGGAGACGCAGATTTAATTAGCTGGTCAGTCACTCCACAGCAGTGCTTATTGTGCCAGTGGGCTGGGTGAAGTAGAGATGCTCTGTTTCCAATTACCCTGCTGCCCTAAGCACTTACAGAGCAAGGCTGATCAGAGGAAGGGAGACCCCAGAAGACACCTTACCCAGAACCCCCCCCCACCCAAACCTGGCAATCCATCTACATTTAGTTGTGCAAGAGTTGCAAAGGCTCTTGTGCAAGTAGATCATTACCTTCAGTTTTAGGCTTTTGTTTTTGGTTCAAGGTACAAGGTAGTCCTTGTGTGAACAAAAGATGCTTTTCATTTCCACACATTTTGCTTCACCACTGTACTTAAGTAAGACAGAGTGGCATGGTGGAATGTTGGACTGGGTGGAATGTTGGACTGGGGACCTGGGAGATCCAGGTTCAAGTCCCAGTTGACCATGAAGCTCACTGAATGACTTGGACCAGTCACTCATTCTCAGTCTAACATACTTTACAGGGTTGTTGTTGTGAGGATAAAGTGCAGTGGAGGAGGACTATGTAGGCTACCTTGAGTTTCTTGCAAGAGGAATAAAGGCAGGATATAATTCCAATGTAATAATAATAGAAACAAGAACTATCATGATGAAAATTATGATTACCCTTACCTACCATTATGAGACATTCCAACTGAAAGGCACTTTTGAAAACGACAGTATTGGCACTTATTACGATTCTTTTTCTGAATCTTGCAGTTGCGATCACATCTGTCATAGGTAAGTTTTAGTCTGATTGTTCGTCTAAAAAAGCCCTGTGGAAGGTTTGAGAAAACAAGCCATTAGTACACACTACTAAATTTTAACTGAATTAATAAGGCTGCAGTCCTCAGCACACTAAACCCCAATGAAGACAATGAGAGACATTGAGAGACTTCTGAGCAAGCATTCTTACAATTGTGCTGTATTTTCCTCTTTTAGTCAGCTATATGTAGGAGTAATTGTGGGATGAAGCATGTACAGTTGTGGAAATCAACTTTACCATGATTTCAATGAATTGTTTTAGATATGAAAAGGACCAATTTCCATGGAAACCTCAGTTGTTGTTCAGAGGATTAACTCTTTCCTCCCTAGCTGCTATAGCAACAGAAATTGCTCCTTTCTAAGTGACCTTAGAAAAACAGCCATGGGAGAGGGTCCCCCCCCCCCACAAAAGAAACCCTAACTGTCATGCTGAGGGTGCAGGGAGGTTGTTGCTGCAATAGCGGCTGGGGACGTAAGGGTTAAACTCTTCTCCTTGTACTCCAGTCCAAATAAAAACTCCTCCCTCTGAACTTATTTTCTTTTACTCCACATACAATGTTGTGCACTACACTGTTGACAAAATGTCCTCATTCATCCAATCTGCAACCATAAACAACTTCAACACCTCTGTTCACCATCCTTGTGACATCAAGATGATCAGCAAAGTTCAGAAATTCTAAAAGATACATATTTGTCTGTATTAGATAGTAAGAAACAAGTCTATATAAAAGATGCCCTTCTCTTTCTTAATTTTAACAATTGATGTATGTATTTCTGAGATCATTAGACACAGAACATTCTAGAAGTATGCCAACAATAATGTCCACGATATTACAACTACATACGCTGTTCTTCTTTGGAAGCCCTTTATGCTGGCCCTCCCAATCTGTCAAAGGAAGAACATTCACTCTTGCCCTGGTAAATGCTACCCTTCTTTTAATATCTGGCAAGTCTACCAGGTATTTGTAAGAGATAAGTATGAGGGAATAAAGGAGGCATAAAAGCTGTTAGATTGGCAGGCTTTCATTCCACTTTCCTGAGTCTGCATCTCAGTGTAGTTAAGGCTTTTGAGCAATATTGATTTAACTCTACCAGAAACTTGAGCTAAAAGGAAGGGGACAGAGAATCCTAAGCTTGTGACAGAAAGCTGCATTTTTGCTTCCATGAGCTTGGGTCCATCTCTTCAGATAAATCCAGGATAGATTCTGAGAGCTGCTTAAAAATTATTTTTAACTAGGAAAGCAGAGCTCATCTAAGAACTTCAGCTTTTGTGCAAACCAATTCTAATTCTGTTGATGTGGGACTGATAGGTGTGGAAGGATGATTTGAAACAAGGGAGTAAAGAGATTTAAAAGGGTGACAAAGAAAATTACTTAGCCCAAAGGAGGGGAGGGGCCAAAACCAGAAGGCACAAGGTATGGGGAAACAGGCTAGTAGGCAGGAGGGCCAAATACTTCCTGATTGTTTATTGACAAGCTGGGCAGAACAAAATGAGCCTAGTGTAGCCCACTGGGGGCAGGGCTGGATTGGGAAGAAGGGCCGGTGTTGGGGCAGTGCGGAGTAGGCGGGTGGAAAGAATGTAACTCTCAGTACCCTAGCAAATAAGGGGAAAGGAGGAGGGAACAAGCAGCTGGGAGCAGGGTTCAAAAGCGGGGGGGGAGGTGTGAACATGTGCTGAGCTGAACAGAAGAATGGGAAGGAAACCATTCTTTTCTGTTCCCTTCATTGCAATAAAGTTTTAAAAAAACTCTCTGCATGCCTGGAATACTTTTCTCTTCTGACGGAAAGGAAAGAGTGTTTATAACAGACCTATCAAAAGTCTATGCAAAAATTGATTTTGAGTTCTTTGTAATGAACCTAAATTGGTTGTGGCTCATAAAGGAGTTCCATATAACAAGTCTGGCAAAGTCCTAGCCTTTCAATTCAATTCAATGGTGAGCTGCACCAAATTTTCCCCTTTTGTATGATAAGACTAATTCTCCATTTAATGTTTTACCAGCTAACAAGATGCTTTACAGTACCTGTGAAGACCATGTACCTGTCCACTGGAAAACCACACTAAGGTACATGAAGAAAACGCTTGCTTCAAGTTTATTCCCATCAAGTGACCAATTAAGATTCTTCTTAAATTACCAAATGCCATAATTTTTGTTTTTTGGTAATTAATATAAAGCAACTCATTCCTGCAATATAGACTGAATTGGTTTAACAATCTTCATAAGTCTGACTGAGTATAAGAAATCAAGATTATGTCATCTGCATAACTGATAATAGTACATTTTTTGACTACCCACTTTAACTGGGAAATAACAATCACCTCTCTGGAACTTAACTACTTCATTTGCAAGTAAATTGAAGAGAAGTGGCTCAAGCAAGCACCCTTGTCTTACTCCTTTTGTACAAACTCAGATAAGTATCTTCCATCTATTCTTATTTGCAAGGATGTTTCAGAATACTGTGATATTTTCTACATTTGAAGATCTGGCAGTCAATGACAATAGTTTGTAATTTATTCCATTCATGCTTCCAAGGAATAGAATCAAAAGCAGCTTTCAGATCAATGAAAACTATATAAATATATTTAACAATTTCAGGCAGATATTTATCAATAACATGTTTCAATGTACAACAATTATTTAGAGTTGAGTGACCTGGATGAAAACCTGCCTGATCTGGAACAAGCAATGTTTAATCCTCCACCCAATCCTCTGATTTTTCAGAAAAAATCTGGCAAATTATGTTGGCAAGATTATAAATGCAGTCCAGTCTTTATCTTCAGCTGTGAAAGAAGGAAACAGTGGAGAAATTCGTAGGATCCACTGCAACTATGAGACAACATCCCTACCCTTTCTCCTGTCCCAGGCTAGAAGGATAGATTGAGGTGGGTGGTTGGCAATGGGAAACAAGGTGCCCCATTGCCTCTGTTGCTCACTGCCATGGATGTTTAAGCTAGGTGTTTGGGCTGCGGATATCAGGGATGCTCGGAGCACTTCTGCTGTATCCCACCAATGGACCTTTAGCAGAAACAAAACAAGCCTAAACCCTTTCCTTAAACTTTTGGTGAGAGAGGCTGTTGGGGTTGTACAGTATTACAACCAGTGCTTTTTTTGTGTAAAAAAAAAAAAAAAAAGGTGCCGGAACTCACGTCTTGGGGTTACACTTTTACACAATGGTCGCCGCGGCAGTAAGCACTCAGAGCACGACTGATCCCAAGCTGAGCAGCGCCTTCACAATGAGCGCCGACAATGAGCGCTGACACACAAGCAGCCCGCAGGCACTATGTTAATGATTTTTGCCGCCGATCTGCTATGCCCAACAGGGCGATTCACAATCACTTGGAAAAATCCATCAAAAAAAGGTGCCGGAACGCTGTTCCGGTGCGTTCTATGACCAAAAAAAAAAAAAGCTCTGATTACAACTAAGCTATGTTCACCTCCTCTACCTGCAAGGCTGGAGGTAGAGGGAAGGCAAAGAAACTTCCCCCAAATTGTGCTGATTTCAAGGCTCTCTGAAGTCCATTGAAATTGCAGGGACTTTCCAGTTCAAGCCCAGCTCCAATCACGAAGATGTAGGAAGGAAGCAGGGGATCATTCTTGATGTTGCACGGAGGCTGGATGTTGCATCTGAGGTCAAGGACCAGAAGCCTAATTCTGCACATGCCTACTCAAAATAAGTCTAATTGGTTTTATGGAACTTACTCCCAGGTAAGTATGCACAGGTCTGCAGCCTAAGGCTACAATCCTTAGTACATTTATCTGGGAATAGGCTTCACTGAACACAATGGGACTTACTTCTGAATAAAAATGCACTGGATTACACTAAAGGGGAACAGTTGGATACTGGTTACTACAATTTTTGACCTAGCAACCAAGCCATTCATTCATTCATTCATTTAAAGCTTTTCTAACCACTCCACTACTAGCATCTTGGGACTGTTACAAAAAATGTTAACCAGAGTTCAAGGACCCTTAACATAAATCAACATTTTTCATGTGATATCAGAATTCAGAGGCATGTGTGTCAATATGGAAGAACTAGACAAAGATGATAAAAGCTAGACCAATTTATCTCATCTTTCTATATGCTTTCTATTAGTTATACATCTACAACCTTCAAATATTTTAGACTTCCAGATTCCAGTTCCTTAGCTTCCTTTGCTACTAAATGGTTCCTTCTTTAAGTGTGTACTCCAAATTTGTCAATTAGCTGCCTCCAATACTCTTTTCATCAACTCTTCTATAGCAACCCAAATAGCAACCCAAAGCATCAAAGGCTATTCCTAAACCCACATTAAGGCTCTGTTCCACCTAAACCCATCAAAACACTGCCAACATGTGAACACACTGAAGAATTCCAGGAATAGTTTTATTCACACTGAAGCTATTGTAGAATTTACTAATAGGTCAAACAAAATCACTTTTAAATACAACCAACCTCAAGTGGTTTTCAAACCAAGTACCTCTATGCCTATTTCCAACTTGCAAAAATGTACTTTAGATAACAACATTTTATAATTCAAGGTAACATGCATTTAGTTCTTTTTCACTGAGCTAATGGTTTACTCTGAAGTTTTAGGTAATACTAAAAAGCTATATATAAAATAAGCTCATTGCAATTGTAAGCACATTTCTTTGAAAGAAGCGCACATGGATTTCAGTAGATTATTTCCAAATAATCATAGTCAGGATCTTAAGCTTCACAAATCAGCTTTCCTTGATGAAACCTAACTGCTGCTATTTAGACTTTTTTTGCTTACTTTCACTTTTGTTCAGTGGATCTTTACAAGGTAATTGACTGCCATTTTGTACTATGATTCAAACACTGAATATTTTTGACAATACCTTACAACCTTCACAAGCATGAACTCCATAATGGTAGCCTGATGCTTTATCTCCGCATATTCTACACTCAATGTTTAATGTTGCACTGGGTAGTTCATCATTGCTACTAGGAATGGTAGCAAGATTCACCGATGATGGACTTGATGCTGGTGAAAGAGAGTCTGAAAGTTAAAAAAGTATTAGTAAATATTATCATCATATACTAGTACTCATCATATACTGAGCTCAGTTTTTCAAGTGTTGGTCCCTATGTAGCCAAAGCCATATCATATACACACAAAAGTGAAGTATATAAGCTTGTGAATAAGAAACTTAAAAAAAACAAGCAAACACAAAATTGCCTGACAAGAATCTGTGAACATGTGGAATGCTGAAAACTTGAACTTACATAGGGGGTCTAGTGAAATAGATCAGAGGTCTAAAGAAATGAGAAAACTATCAAAGTGTGTAAAACTGCCAATTAAGTCTAAAGCTAGGAGAAAGTGAGACATGAAAATGTTGTGTCCACCAAAAAACAAAACCAAAAGAGAAATGGAAAGAAAAGTGAAATGGAGGGCAGAGGAGATGTGGAAATGTACTGAGGATTACAAAAATGGTTGCACTGCCACCAATTACATGTTTTAGCAAAGCTGGCCAATTTGGTTCACCATGCTGGTGCCTCAGTCAGGGACCCAGCTCCACTGTATAAGAGCTTTCCTTGCTTAGGGAAAGCCTGTGCACACAGAACCAGAGCACCAAGTGAGCATTTAAGACAGATAACTGGAATCAGGGGCATGGGCATGCCCCTCAGTGTCATTTGGCTGCTCAGTGTCAATGGAAGGCTGCTCCCCCTACACTATAGGCTGGGGTACAATCCCCTTGGTGTTATTACTTTCAAAATGCAAACTATCTTCATGAAAACCATTTTAAAACATTTTCAGGTTTTGCAAAGTTGGAGCAGTAACTATTGCCAGAAGATATATATTCTAAAGAAGGCTAGTATTTCCCACAAACTGCAGAGTACTTTTGAGCCAAGAGCATAAACAACTATTTCCAAATGGATCCTAGTTACAGTCTAATTTATGTTTCATCTGAAAAAGATACAAAATGAAGCTTTTAAACCACTCATCAATATCAACTACAGATCTTAGACAATGGTATAATTTGCTGTACTCTCCTTAATCTATCATTTATTCAACCTCATTTGAAACCACATTTCTGCAATATGGTAAATCTGGTCTATAAAACTGTAATACTATAAATACAGTAATACAAAAATAAAGGTTGGTGCTGTAATCAATAAAGAACATCTGAATAAATCCATGACAAGATAACAGAGTTCTTACCTGTAATGATTGATCCATCAGAGCCAGGTCCATTTCCCAGCGAATGGAACTCTGTTACACTTAATGCTCCTGAACTATCCCTGCTTAGAGATTGTGAGAGCTCATTTATGTTCTCCATATCTTGTAAAAATTCTTCAGATAAAGGACTATCAAGATCTTCATCCTTTAAGGGAATAAGGGGGCAAAGCTGGCTTTCTGAGTCTACCATTTCAGTGAGGCAAGGTATGTCAGTTAGCATTTTTTAGATGTCTGAAAAGATAACAAGCAAAGCAAAATTTTTGTTTATATCCCCTGCTCAAATTAACCCTGTTATGTAACTTAGGTTGTGTGACAGTGACTTACCTAGTATCACATGGTCAGCTGGGTTTCCCATACTCAAATCTACTACCCTATAGTATACAATACTAATCAATAGGATCAGATTATTTCCACTCACATTGGTCAACAGGAAGATCTGTATTATTGTTTGCAGGCCATTATTCAATAGCAGGAGGCAGCCTCATGTGATTGCCTTGGGAATACACTGGACTGCCAACAGGATCCTGACCAACTTAAGGCACTTTTGTCCAAACCAGTACCTCTGCATGGATAAGGTAAATGATCGTCTACATTTTATATATGGAAACAACACAACCAGTGCAGTGACAATGACTTGGAAAAAGTGTCATCTCTATGACATCACATTCATAGTTTGGTATAAATCACCCAAATATGAACCTGCACCTGCACTTGAATCTGAGACAGCCGTGAACTGTTGGTGGTCACCTCGTGTGAGCCATCCCAGCTTTCAGGCAGTCTATGTACTATCATGTTAATGATGCTGTGCTACTAAACAGCTTAAGTTAAACATTTGTTTTAAAAAATTTATTTAACATTTTCTGCAGCATTTCTTGCACCAAAGTGTGATATGCATCCATGGCTTATTAGTCACTCAGACTCCCAAGCTCTTCCCCTCTCCCATTTTTGGCCCACTCATTTTTTCTAAACTTTTCTCCTAAATTCCCAATAAGGAAAGCTCCATGTCAAAAAATACGGACACAGTAAACATATCCCTCTTCATTCAGTTTCAGAACCTACACAAATCTCTTCCTGCATACCACATTCCTTTTTTGCCCATAGAAAAAAAAGCTTAGGCAACCCCTTCCCAGAAGTGAGGCATTAAAGAATTGCACATTCCTCTTACAGAGAGGCAGAGGAAACATCCACATAATTGTAGTATTTCACCTATAATATAGTATTCCACCTTCCTTCTCTGTATTCCTCTAGTCTTCCCTGCTTTTATTTATGTTATACTTGCTAGTTTGGACTAAAGGACAAGCATAAGGGCTTTCTCCTATTTTTGCTCCTTCAACACAAGTTAAGCAGAGAAGACACCTTTGCTTTGCAGTATGCTTTGGCTTTTGCTTGAAAGTTCTGGTAGAGGCCAGCCAGTTCCATGATATGCACTGGCGCTTAGGATGATGGACCAAGGGAGGCAGCTTGAGCACAAATGGAGGCGAGTTTGACTGATCATAGCTTAGCAATCAAGCCTATTCTGTGATGATTAAACTGGCAAAACAACAGTATTTTGCCTACTGCACTGCTTCCTCACAGTGCTGTCCAGCTAAACTATTCCAAGTGGCCTGGGGCCTCTTGAAATCTGGTTTACCAATCTGAATTCTTGGTGACTTGCTGTGTCAAATTTGCTGTGCACTTATTATTATTCAGAAATTATTCAGATACACCGCAAATCGGACTCTGCAGTTGTTTCAGTTCCATCTAGGAATATGTCCAGAGTACGGCCCTCTAGTCCTATTTTGCTAGATGAGTTTCAGTTACTGCAGCCCAATGATGTGGAAAAGGTGCTTGACTCTGTTCATCCTACCACCTGCCTACTTGACCCTTGCTCATCATTAATCATTAGAAAATATAAGGAGAAGGGTAACTCTTGGGTCCAGGAGGCTGTTAACGCCTGCTTGAGAGAAGGTGTTGTCTCAGCCTTCTTAAAGGTTTTACGATTGCTTTTAAAGAAGCCAAACCTGGATCCAGGGATAGTTGCCAGCTACCAACCAGTAGCAAACCTTCAATTTTTGAGCAAAGAGTTGGAGTGGGTGCTGGCCAGGCATCTCCAGGCACTCTTGGAGGAAATTGATTATCTGGACCTATATAAATTGGGTTTCAGTCCAGGATTTGGGATGTAGACTGCCTTGATTGCACTGTAAGATGACCTTTGCCAGGGACCGTTGGTTCTTCTAGACCTCCTAGAGGCGTTTGACACCATTGATCATGGTGTCCTTCTGGACAGGTTGGCTGGGGCACTGCCTTGCATTAGTTCAGATTCTTCCTGGCTGACCATGTCCAGAAGGGGGTGCTGGGAGATAGTTGCTCTGCCCCATGGTGATTATGCCATGGAGTTCCATAGGGCTCTATACTGTCTCCCATGCTTTTCAACATCTATATGATAGCGCTAGAAGAGGTCACACCCAGAGGTTTGGGCTCAGGTGTCAGCAATATGCTGATGACACTCAGCTCTACCTCTCATTTACATCAAATCGAGGTGAGGTGGTCTCCGTGCTGACCCAATGACTGAGTTTGATAATATTGAAACTCTCAATCCAGACAAAACATAAGTGCTGTTAGATGACAATCTGTCTGACAGGTTAGGTGGCCATTGTCCTGTCTAGGATGGGGTTGCATTTCCGTTAAAGGACAGGGTCTGCAGCTTGGGCATGCTCCTGGACCCAAAACTATCACTGCAGCCCCAAATGGACTTGGTGGCCAGAAGTACCTTTTTTCAGCTACAGTAAATACAACAACTGTGGACCTACCTGGATAGACAGAGCCTGACTACAGTTACTCATGCACTGGTAATACTCCAATTGGATTTACTCTATGAAGGACTGCCTTTGAAGGCAGTCCAGAGACTTCAACTAGTTCAAAATAGAGTTGTGTGACTGGTGTTGTGCATCAGTTCCCATATAACACCTATTCAAGTTACACTGGTAACCAGTTGAAACCTGGGCTCAATTTAAAGTGTTTGTTTTAACATAAAAAGCTTGGGACCTGATTACTTGAAGGACTACCTTTTTCCACATATACCTACCCACCCACTGAGATCTGGGTATGAGGTCCTTTGAAAGAGCCATTCCTAAAGGAAGTGAGAGGGATGGCGACTGGCAGGGCCCTTTTGGTGGCTGCTCCCCACCTTTGAAATGGGCTTCCTAGAGGTCTGTCATTACTTTCATTTGGTGCCAGGCAAAAACTGTCCTTTTCCATAGGCATTTCAAAACCTCATTTTAACAACTTGCCTTTAAGATTTTGCCTACCCTAGAAATTGTAGTGTTCAATTCAATTGAAATTAAATTGGTCTTGTATCTTGTTGTACACAGCTTAGAGAGCTTTGTCAGGTTATTCTGCACCCTATAAATTTAAAAATAAATGTGATCACTCAAGATGCTTCAGACAGAAGAGATTCCTAGCTCCAAAGATCTAGCCTTTCCTTCTCATTACTCTTAAAATCCCCTTCATGGATCACTGCCTTGTCGTGGCAAAGGGGTTTGTGAAGTGCAATGAAGCAATGAGCTATGCTGTGCAGGGGCACCCAAGACGGTCAGGTCATAGCAGAGAACACTGCCAAAAGGTGATCTACCGGAGAAGGAAATGGCAACCTACTCCAGTACCCTTGCCATGAAAACACCTTGCCTATAACACCTTCTAGAAATAACACCATAAAATGATGTCCTTATCATCATGGGGGATTGTAATGCAAAAGAAGGAAGCCGGAATAACAGGCAAGTTTGGCCTTGGAGTACAAACTTGGAATATGTGAACTGAGAACTACCATAAGTACAGGCGGGGTTTCAAAGAGGCAGAGGAACTAGAGATCAAATTGCCAACATACACTGGATCATGGAGAAAGCTAGGGAGTTCCAGAAAAACATCTACTTCTGTTTCATTGACTATGCTAAAGCCTTTGATTGTGTGGATCACAACAAATTGGGACAAGTTCTTAAAGAGATGGGAGTACCTGACCATCTTATTTGTCTTTTGAGGAACCTGTATGCGGGTCAGGAAGCAGCAGTGAGAACTGGACATGGAACTACTGATTGGTTCAACATCAGGAAAGGAGCACGGCAAGGCTATATACTGTCGTCCTGCCTATTTAACTTGTACTGTCATCCTGCCTATTTAACTTATATGCAGAGCACATCCTGAGAAAGGCCAGGCTAGATGACTCACACTTAGAATTAAGATTGCGGGGTGCGGGGGGGGGGATATCAACAACCTCAGATATGCAGATGATACCACTCTCATGGCAGAAAGTGAAGAGGAACTAAAGAGCCTCTTGATGCGGGTGAAGGAGGAGAGTGCAAATGTTG